AACAAGAAAATAAAATTTATTTGTTAATAGTCTGATTCAGAAGGTGATAACCAGAACACAACTTTAATACTAAAGACAAAATAAACAAGGTTAAACAAAGTCAAAATCAAGGCAAAAAAGATAATAATAAAAAATAAAAAAAGAGATAAAAACTACAAAGTGAAAAAAAAGAAGAAAAAAATAATAAATATAAAATAATTAAAAGATTAAGACAGAATTCAGAAACTAGAAAAGAGATAAAAAAAATAAAAAATTAAAATGCTAAAGCAAACTATCAATAAAAAAAAAGAAGAAAAATGAAATATTGAATACAAGCAATTGTAAAAAGATAAATAAAAGATTAGTTAGTAGTAAAATAAATAGAATAGCAAAATAGAATCTACACAACATAATAATCTTATTAGAAGATTAATGATTTGATGTTTAGCATTGTTTATAAGTACCAAAACATAGTTATATTGTGGATTACAAATATAATTAGGTAGTTCTGACAATACGCATAATCACTAACCATTGACCAAAGAAAAAAAATTCTTAGTAAATTAAGAACCTCAAGAGCTATTGAGGCAGGTTATATCTAAACAAAAACCGGATGAGTCTTGTTACAGCCAAGGGAGAGACTTGTTATCCTCTTAGCCAATTTAACTGAGGGCCGTAATCATTAACAGAAATAAAGTGAAGGTTTTATTATCACTAACGGCACCAGAAAGTATCAAACAAATATCCTAACGTTGTGTCCCAGACACACTAATAATACAAATATCCCTATTTCCTTCTACTACTTAGCAAGTTCCAAACTTACTAATAGTCCAACTCAATAACCCGAAATACCAAAACTCACTAAAACTAAAAGACTAATCTCTCTAACTAATATACATATCGTTCTCTATATATATACATTAATAAACTCTAAAATAAACTATGTACCATTTAAAGTCTAATTAAAGTATACTTTATACTTCTCTTAAACTATTAAATGTTACACTAAAGTATACGCAAGTCAAACGAAAGTATATTGGTTACACAGCGAAAGTTTAATTCTGAAACTTCGTTGTGTAACAGTCTCTCATTTGGTAGGATCTTGATAACTATAAATAGAAACTAGGAAAACAGATACTGTTAGGTATCCGGAGCATAGTTAAAAATAAATGTAAATGTATTGGTTGATGTAGTTGATAAATAGAGGACGCTTAAAGCCAGGTCCATTACGAATTTAAATTAACGTTAAGGTTAGGTCAGTTTAGGGCTTGTATGGACTAATATTAAAAGGTTTCAATATGTAAAATCGTCCCCTCGACATTTTTTCTTAATGTACCAAGATACGTTTAGACATTGGTTTCTTGTATTTTTCTCACTTTTTACTTTTTTTGCTTCGTGGGCTGATCCGCGTAAACAAAAATTGGAGATTTTGATTGGTCGTGCATAACGGGAGATCTCGTAATGACCTGGCTTTAAGCGACCCCTAAAAATAGTTGCGGACATAAACACACACAAAAATCTGGTCTATTACTCCCATAATATCCTCCACTACGCTCCGGATAATTACAATATATAATTTGTTGAATAGCTGGTTCCAAATAAGCAGAGGCAGGATTGCTAAATTAAAAAAAAAAACTAATAACATAGTTTTAAAATTTTGCAAAGAATTTTTTTGTTAATACACAAAAGGTGATTTCTTAAAGAAATTTTGAGATTGAGATTGTGACTTTTCAAAAAAAGTGATTGCATTAATTTTCAGATTTTGCTTCCTGATTAGCTAGAATCATATCACATTATTAAGGATTCACCAATGACCAATAGAATCTTGGGGTGAAATTAGTAAACATAATAATCACAAGGATCGGTCTCTAACCAGTTTATCGGTCTTTACAAAGGTCCCAACAGTCCCGGTTTCAAGACCGGTCATTTCCGGGACCGATATAACCCTAAATGTATCAAAAGGCATTAAGTCTAGATTCGGTCAATTATAGCCAATCAAACTCGTTATTTATTACATGGTAGTTTTCGAGAAACTGAAAAAAAATTCTTCCAAAAGTTGAGTTTTGATTAGCCAAAAAAATTTCTTGTTGATATCAAAATAAAATGGGATAATAGTAAAAACATTTGTTCTTGATTCGCATATTCAAAATTTTATTGAAAAACTGTATAGTTATTTTTTACAGTTATTTATTCTAATCTATTCTGCCTTATTGCATTATAGTCATACGTGAATAGATTGAATAAATTGATTGCAATTTGAGATTAACATTATTATCTGTAACATCCAAAGAAGTAAGCGTGAAGTTCCTACGAAGTGCATTGTATAATGCTTTTGCACCTTCTGATCCAAGTTTATTATTTCGAAGATTCAAATCTTTCAAAGTACGGTTTTCGCAAAGTGCTTCTGCTAATACTATTCCTCCCCCAGATCCAAAATTATTACATTGAAGATTCAAATCTTTTAAGGTATTGTTTTTACGGAGTACGCCTGCCAACGCTTTTGCTCCTTCTAATCCAAGTTGATTATTCCGAAGGTTCAAAGAAATTAGTGTAGTGTTTTTGCGAAGTGCGTCTACTAATACTTTTCCTCCTACTCCTAGTTTATTCGAATTAAGGTTCAAAGAAGTCAGCGTTGTATTCTCGTCAAGTGCATCCGCCAATGCTATTCCTCCTTTTACTTCAAGGTCATTATCGCCAAGATTCAAAGATGTCAACTTAGTGTTTTGTAAAAGCACATTTGCTAATGCTATTCCTCCTTTTGATCCTAGTCTATTCGAACTAAGATCCAAAGAAGTCAGAGTGGAATTCTTGCAAAGTGCAAATGCTAATGCTTTTCCTCCTTCTGATCCTAGTTTATTCGAACTAAGATTCAAAGAAGTTAGACCGGTGTTCTCGCCAAGCGCAGCTGCTAGTAATTTTCCTTCTTCTGACCCTAGTCTATTCGAACTAAGATCCAAAAAAGTCAACATCGTGTTCTTGCAAAGTGCGTTTGCTAATGCTTTGCCACCTTCTGCTCCAAGATTATTTATGCCAAGATTCAAGGAAGTCAATGCTGGGTTCTTGCAAAGTACATATATTAACTCGTTCAAATTTTTCAATTCACATTGATATCCAGAGAGATCCCAGGTTAAAGAACTCTGATCGCTGTTTTTGAGAATTTTCTCATAAAGTCCTAATGCTTTGAGAAATTTGCCTTGCCTAAGATATCCACGTGCTTCGCTTCTCGCAAATTTTAATGCACTTCTATGTAAATCGGCGAAAGTATCATGTTTACATATTGTAATAAAGTCTTTTGGAAATTTCCAAGCTGATTTAGTTTCTATCAAGCGTTTTTTAACTTGTTGGCAGATTTTCATTAATTCCATTTCATCAGCTGCAATAAAAACGTCAAGAAGGCTAACTTCATTTTTATCGGAAATTTTTTCGGTATAGATATAGCTATTCATTTTGTCAAACATTTGAAATTATTTTTTTTTTATATATGGGAGAAATTCAGACAGTTGAAATGACATATAACTTACTTTATAATAGTTTCAAACACAAGTGGAGAAATATTAGGCTTATTGAAAATGATGATTCCGTTTTCTCTCCTTGCCCATCGCGATGACAATGCAGCTTCAAAGTAAGATGAACTTGCCGATAAGATAATAGAATGAACTTTAAATTCTTTAACATTTGGTTCTTCACCAACTCTAATTATCATATCAAAATCTAAATTTTTAGATTTTTCAATTAAATTTTGAATAGGTTCGTTGCTCATATTTGCGAAAAAGTTTGCTTTACGTGTCTGGAACACATAAAGGTCATTATATAACGCAAACGCGTAAGTGCACATGCCTTTGTTACAAAAATAGACACGCGTACGGACTAGGAAAAAGTTTTGGGCACGCCCCGGGCATGCCTCTGGGCAATACGAACTCCTAAAAGGAAACAGCCAATCAGCGAGTTCAAGTTTTGATTAACCCGATATGGAATCCGAACATGTGCAAAAGAAGAAAAAAGTGAAAAAGTGAAAATACTCGAAAACTAATGTTTGAATCGACCTTGGCGCATTAATTAAAAACGTCGGATAGTGTTTCGATCCTATTTTTGACAGGCAATCCGGATTCTATTAAATCCGGATTGAATCCGCATTAAATTATATATA